GGAACGCGCGGGGCATAACCACACTGTGTTCGGGGCGGGGAGAATTCAGGGAAAAAAATACACTGGTGGCTTCTACCCTCTCTCCCGCAGAGGGACACGACCAAACGCACCCTCCTTACTGCCCAAAACCGCAGCACACGTGACCCAGAGAGGCTTTTCAGAATTGCCGAGTCTCCAGTGGCTTCTGTTTGCCTTTCCCTTGTTTGCAGCAGCATCGCATCTGGACGCTAGTCAGAAAAGCAGGGGATAAAAAAAAAAAAAAAAAAAAAAAAACAACAAAAAAACCCGCCCTCCTCCTGCTGAACAAACCTCTCAATCAAAACAAAGCCGGAGTGGCAGCCAAGAGCTGGGAGGCTCTTTTGTTTAATGCTTAACATCCCCCGGCCAGGCCGGTCTGCCCCAGCACGCTGAGGCGCGGGGTGCAGGGGCGATGGCACGGGCAGCGAGCCGGAGCGGAGAGCCGGCCAGCCAGCGCCCTCCACCCCGGCGAACACAGCGCGGGGCCAGCTCGGCCACCCGAAAGCAGCCGGTGGGGCAGGCGGCAAAAACAGGCTTCCCAAGCCTGGCCGGCGCCTCTCCCCCGTGCACGGCCATTTTGCCGAGCGTGGCTGCTCGCCGAGAGCAGCCGTTCCCTCCTGAAAATCGGTGCCCCCCCCCCCCCCCAAACCAAACCAAACCCCAGCTCAGCTCCGGCCATCCCCCCGTGACCCACGGGGTCAGATCTCGTTGCCGGTCCACGCACCCTGGGCATGGGTGCAACAGCACAGGCTTATTTCTCTTCCTGCTGCAAGAAGTATTAAGCTCTCATTCCCATCCCCTCAGATATCTTCCGGGGCTCGAGCAGCACAGGCTGGTGCAAGGAGCTGCCCACAGCCCCAGGCAAACCCACACTAGGTGCTCAGCTCACCCCAGAGACCCCGAAAGGTCTCAGCAGGGTTATTGCCACCGGGTTTCAACGTCATCAGCCCCATCCCTGGCAAAGTTATTGCTCGTGTCCCAACACCCCGATGGCAGCAGGTTTGAGGAGGGTACGTAACAAGGCAGGGCATGCCGCGACAGGAGGCTGGCTACAGCCAAGACACGCACCTAGGAAAAGGGCATTTGGGATATTTGGCTCCTGAGGCTTCATCCCGGGAAGCAGCAACCAGAGGAGCTATGGGGTCACAGTGGCAAAACATGTCCCATCGAGCCCGTGGGTCATGTCCACAGGCTCTGTCGCTGCGATGTCAGACAGGGGTAAAAGAGTGATGTCGCCCAGGAACACCACACCAGCTTGAGCACCCACTGACATGAAAGGGTGTCTGGAAAAAGCAAAAGCTCTGTTCCTACATCCAGCAAGGACTGGAGGGCTGCAAGACCCTACAGTGAGATATTTAAAGAGCACAAAAGCAGAAGGAGGGGCAAACGGTGAGCTGACTGTGGCACTGAAGCACCTCGTCAAGGAAAAATACTCGCTACTAAAGTGCTCTTTCATCCAGTCAAGGAGATGCAACAAAACCTCCTGGCTGGAGGCTGACTGCTCAGCGTGCATGTATGTACAGGGAGGTCATTTACACCGGGCTGCAGTCCAGCCGGTGCAGGCAGAGACTGTCTCTCTTTCTTCATCCCCAGATGGAGACCAGCCTCCCTGCCCGAAACGGAAGCGGGAACAGAACAGGGTTAAGCAGAGGACAAGCTGCTGGAGACCAAAGGTTGGGCTGAGTCACGTTGTGGCTGTTCCTGTTTCAGTCTGAGCAAGTTTCTCGCTTCCCAGGCAGACTTTGTCCCCAGGCCTGCAGGAACTCGTCTCCTTCATCCCCCTGATGCACTCCCCAGAGGAGCTGCCCTCCCACAGCCAGCATGTACCTCTGCTCTTTGCTTGTCCTTCAGATTCCACATGTCATTTTGGGGGCATCTCTGCAGCTTTCAGGAGACAGGAAAAGCCCAATGCCACTGCTCACCTCCATCCTCCACCCTTCCTCAGGCTTTTCCTCAAGCCATAAAACTGCTTTCCCACCCCTCGCCATGCAGGCACCTTTCTTTTCTTGGCCCACAGCATTCCCGACCCGAAGGAAGCCATCTAGCTGCCCCCCAGGAGGCTGATGAAACACAGCCAATGTTTCCTCCCGAGCGCAAATGCGACATGTTTTCCTGCAGACCCAGACCTTAAATCACTTCTCAAAGCAGGGCTGAGCCTTCATCGATGTGGTTGTATCTGAAACTGCACAAGTAAAATGGCAGAACCATCCTTAGGGGCTATCTGCACGGAGATGATATAATGGTTTAGGTTGGAAGGCACCTTAAAGATCATCTCGTTCCACTCCCCTGCCATGGGCAGGGACACCTTCCACCAGACCAGGGTGCTCAAAGTCCCGTCCAACCCGGCCTTGAACCCTTCCAGCCATAATGTCTCTGAACAACTCATTCCAGTGTCTCACAAACCTCATCTTAAAATATTTCTTCCTTATGGCCAGTCTAAATCTACTCTCAGTTTAAAGCCATTGCCCCTCGTCCTGTCACTGCAGGCCCTGGTAAAATGTCTCTCTCCATTTGTCTTATAAGCCCCCTTTAAACATTGAAATGTTGCCATAAGATCTCCCCGGAGCCTTCTCTTCTCCAGGCTGAACAATCCCAACTCCCTCAGCCTCTTTCCACAGCAGAGGTGCTCCAGCCCTCAGACCATTTTCATGGCCATTCATCAGACCCATTCTAACAGGTCCATGTCCTTCTTGTGCTGGGGATTCCAGAACTGGATGCAGTGCTCCTGGGGTGGTCTCACCAGAGGCAAGGAGAGGAGCAGCACCACCTCCCCTAGACCTCCTGGCCATCCTTCTTTTTATGCAGCCCAGGATACAATCAGCTTCCTGGGCTGCAAGCACACAGTGCCAGCTGATGTCCAATCTGTCACCCACCAGTGTCCCCGGGTCTTTCTCTGCAGGGCTGCCCTCAACGCGTTCACCCCCCAGTTTGTACTGACAGTGGGGACTGCCCCAACCCGGGTGCAAGACCTTGCACGTTGAGCTTCATTTGGTTCACATGGGGCCCAGTCCTCCAGCCTGTCAAGGTCCCCAATGTTTGGTCCCTGTCTTCATAATCCCCACCTCACTTTGGCATTTCTACCTACAGAGGGTTTCCGCAGCTGCATCAGTGAAAGAAATAAATCTTTAATAGTAAAAACACAGGAAAAGCCATACAGGGTACGACCAAAGGTCCAACCAGTTCCCGTGCTGGCTTTGACAGCGGCCAGCAGCAGATGGCTATGAAGGAACATAACAGCCAAACATGTTGAGATATTTCCCAAACCACTTCCCAAGCTCCATCCGTTCTTGGGCTTTTCCCAAGCCATTGTACACCCTCACAATGGGTTCCTCCTCCACAAACCCACCCAGGTGCCCCAGAGCATTGGTGAACTTTCAGCATCCACAGTTTTTTGCAGCAGTATTCAAGTCCATCATTGGAAAGACTATCTGCTCCTCTTCCTGGCTTCATTCACTCTGCTGCCAGAAAAGACAAAGAAACAATATGTTGTCTCCACACCACCCCGTAATTTTACAAGCTTCAGTCACCTGCTCCAGGAGTCTTCCTCTTGAGTGGAGGAAGCACCAACCTACTTAACAGCTCTTCTCTCAGAGCCATCCCATGGCCAACTATCCCCACCACCATTCTCTCCACATATGCTCTATCTTTTTGTGGATGGAAAAAGTAAAAAAAAAAAAATATCTCCAACATCTCACTGGTCTCAGCAACCCTCCCAAATCCACTGAGCACTCCCCACCCATCCTTTCCTGATGCCCAGCACCACTATCCCCACACCAAAGCAGAAACCCTCCCAGGGAGCCGCTGGCCGCAAACACAGCAACGCACACCCTGATACCCCCCCAGCCACTCTCCCGACACCCCAGCGTGTGTTGACAGCAATAGGGCTGAGTCACCCACGCACACACACTCGTGATGCTCACCCCATGCACAGCAAACGGGCACGGACCGGTGACACCACGCGTGCAGCAAACGCGGAGGAGCTTCTGCTCCAAGCATGAAGAACTCCACGCGCTCAAAGTCTTCCCCTATCCGTCCGCAGAACTCACATCAGCTGCTGCAATTACCAAGAAACAAGCTAATCGAGCTGCCGCTCCAGTGGCCATATCCAGAGCCAAGCACTCAGACGGCCATTCACCCTTTCGGCTGCGCGCCGCTGGCGGGCTTTTCTCGCCCCTGGTGACCTGGAAGAGCAGCTTCTCCGGCTCAGCATCACTGCTGCATGTTAGTGAGGGAGTGACATGTAAAAAAAAAATCACCCACAGCAACCCATCGGCCCAAGGCTGATCGTCACCACAAGTGAGACAAAGCCCACGTATCAACAGCAGACCAAGAAACGAGGCGGTAACTCCTGTCAACCCTGCACCTTGTGCTTGCCTGAGCACCCACACAGATCCCACATTTACTAACACGTTAAAGTCTCCTTCTCTGCATATGATGCAACCAGAGAGAAATAAATTCCTCTGGGAGCTGCAGGGAGCTTTGACACACAAGGTGAACCCACCGGGAAGCAGAGCACAGCAGCCAACAGATACTGCCCTATCCTGTTGGGAGGTGGAGTGGGCACAGGACCAGGACATCACCTTCACCGCCAGCCCAGGCTCCTCCCGCAGAGTGACAGGAACCAGAGAAGCTTGGACCCACTTGGCAGAGTTGTATCACCGAAGAAACCAAATCCCTGAGGGTACGGCAGGACGGTACTCTGATGCACAGGGACGGTAGGCAGTTTGCTGGTGGACAGTTCCCAGAAGCCAGGCACGGCTTGACCAGTGCCCTCCCATCACCGTGTTCAGACCCCGGCACATCACACGGTGAAACCGCCTTCATGCCAGAGCCAGGAGGCACCAGCCATACATCAGTGCTGACCCCCAACAGTGTAAGACACAAGGTCCCGCTGTACGTTCCCGCTCCCTCACCACCCGCAGCAGCACATGCCAGCACAGGAGCTGCTACCAGAGCCTCCCACACCCCAACACCCTTCTTACCTTCTCCGACTTCACCTTTTTCAGCTGCCGACACTCACTTTCCCCGTCCTCCAGCTCCGACTTAACTCCCAAGGGATTGAGCGCAGCTCCCGTGTCAATAGCTATACTCCCAAGCTGCTCGGCAGCAGCAGGCTCTGTCCCCTGGCCCCCATCATACTGTCCCACCCTCACTGCCAGGGCCAGGGGCTGCAGTACGCTGGGCTCCTTCTCCGCCGCAGCCCCCGCACCCTCACTCCTTTCCTTCTTGCTTTTGGATGAGCCGCTCTCCTTCTCCTTCTTGGAGCCGGCCACACTGCGAGATGCCTTGGCCGATTTCTCCGAGCCCTTCGGGGTGACGGCAGGCACCAAGCCGCCCGAGTTCGCGCCGTCCCCAGAGCGTCCTTGAGTCTCCTTCTTGCCACCAGCTCCCTCGCTGGGAGTGAACAAGGAGGTCCCCGGGGTTGGCTTGCCACTGTCCTTAACACTCTTGCTCCTCTTCGACTTGGATTTGCCCTCCTTGCCCTGCGGGCCCGGCACCGGGCTCACAAACTTGATGTTATCCGGTAGGGTTGCCACCGCATTGGGCGCTGGGAGCCCCACCTCTTTGGAGCCTGACATTTCCAATTTCTGCTGATCCTTCTCCAAATCAGCGTCCAGGTCAATGATGAGATTCCCTACACCGATGTCCCACTCATCCCCGCTGTCATACGTCTCAACCGGGTTCGCATCGATTCCTTTCCCTCCGGAAGCTCCGCTGCTCAAGGACATCTTAGAGTTAACGGCCCCTCACGGTTCAAGGCTACTCCCTGCCTCCACGCCCTGGGGGTCACCTACGTCCTGGGAGGGCTTCCAGCAGTCGGGGTCTGCCCAGGTGACGGCATCGCTGCTGCAAGGGAGAGCAAAGAGAACAGGGTTATACACAAAGAGCCCCAGGACAGGCAGATCTGCCTTCAGCAGCAGCCACACGCGCAGGCAGGAGAGGTGCTGGGCAGGGCGAAAGCCCCCAACCTCCCAAATCCCCCATCGGCCCGACACAAGGCAGCATCCTCCTGCTGCTCCCCGCCCAGGCTGGGGGCTGCCCCTCAGCCGTCCCTGCAGCAGCAGCCATCTGGCATCGGTCCCTCGATCAATACCAGCCCTGGCAGGTCACGGCTCTCGTCTCCAACAAGACATTACTCACACGTTTCCCTGCTTGCCATTTCCCTCTGAATTATCGAGCGCTGCCCCTGGGAGGGAGGATTGATTCCTCTCCTGCTGATGCCACCCGGGAGGAGGGCTCCTCTCCGCGCCAGCCTCGCTGTGAGGGACAAGAGCCACTCGCCAGGGAAGTTGAGTGCCTCAGTGGGAAATAAATCCCAAGCTTCAGAGCGCCTGTGACACTTGGGACGCGTCAGAGCGGTCGCCGAAGGCCAAATCGCAGCAGGAAGCGCAGGGTTTCCATCCTGCACCTCCAGGCAGCCCAACATGGCACCCGGCTTTCGGACGTTAAACCACCATCACCTCCAGCACGACGAGCCACGTAGCAGGCTTCAAATGATACGAAACCAAGACACAGTTGCACAGGTACCCGGTCATAACTGGAAAAGGGGGGGGGGAAAATCAGCCCCATTCACCCACACCGTGGCCGACCCCAGCTAGCCCAAAATTTCTCCTCCCGACTTCCCAGCCCCTCGCTCTCCCTGTTCTCAGACGCATTGTATGCTGCCATGTCCCCAGAGGCAGCAACGGGGGGGAGGAAAACAAAACAAAACAAAAAAAAAAAAAAAAAGACACCCACGCGAAACCTGAAAAAGTGCCCAAGTTGCTCACTGAGATTAGCTCATGGCAATTACACTGACGAGACATAATTAACACATGAAACTGCTTCTTCCCAGCAGCCACCCGGCCAGCTACTTGGCCCCAGCCGCCCGCTCTCCAGATCGCTTAAGAAAGCCTTGACCACCCATTCGGACAAAGCTCCTCTCCAGCAGCACTGTCCTCCCCCTTCCCGCCAAGCTCTGCGCCTGCCAGCTCCTGGTACTATTTACGAGCAGCACTTCAAAAACAGGTGACTTAAAGAAAAATGAGAAGGGAAGGGGGGGGAGGGAATAAAAAAAAAAATAAAAAAAAAAAACACACAAAACCCACACACGCACAAATTTCTTCAAACCCCAGCAGGCAGGAGCCTGGAAAGCAGCTTCATGGTGCGTTTCCAGAGATGCAAACACTGTAAAAATGCCAGGGATTCTTTCATCAGACAGGCTGCCGCAGCCAGACCATTTTCCATCTGCTCCCCACAGCATCCTCAGCTCTGTACAGCTAATAATCCGCTCTCTGACAGGTCATTACGGAGATTTTTAACCCCAGGAGCCGGGGGCTAGTGTGCGAGCTGGAAATGAAAAGCACTGACCTCTCATTTCAGCGGCAGAGAAAGTGCCGAATCAGGAGATCACTTTGTGCACTGGAGACACTAGCGGCTTCCCAAAGCCACCCTGCGTGTTCCTGTCGCCACCGCCTCTTCCTCCTGCCCCAGCACGAGCTGGGGTGTCCGGCCCGACCCCACCGACCTGCCTCTCCAGACCCTCTCTCCACACCACTGATGGGGCTGGCGATCAGCAGCGGCCACCTCGTCTCCGCACGGCGCACACCTCCCCGGCTGGCACGCGTTGCCTCCCTTTGTGCCACAGATGCGCAGCGATTCCTTTGTCCAAATGGGCAAAACTGGTAAAAAAGTGGATGAAACAGACCTTTAGCTGGTAACAGTCCCTTCCCGGCCCGAAGTTGAGGCACGCTGTCCAGCCACAACCCTGCTACACAGGGCTTGGGGACACGGCGCTGCCGGGTAGGACCAACACGCGTGAGCTACCGGGAGAGGAGGAGGCTCAGCCTCCGACTCCAAGAGCTGCCCATCCGAGGTTGGAGCACGTAGAGGGCCACGGCCTGCCCAGCTGAGAGGGACAAACAGACAAGAATCTGGCCTCGCAGTTGCAGGAAGGCAACAGACAGTCCGCAGGGTTGTATTGCGACAGGCACAGCATCACCCACTCCATGCAACGCCTCCATGACGCCAGCTTGGCTGGCTCTCAGCTTGTGCACCAGGGAACTCACCTTGCTGTTTTAAGTGTGCATATATACATGCACACACACATATACATAAATATTATTTATATATATGAAATAAGGAGAGCAGATGAGCAGGACTTTGGTCTGAAACTATGCAAACAGCAGCAGCGTTTGCCAATTCCTACCACAACAAAAGGAAGAAGGAGCCCAGAAGTCCGCTGGGTCCCCGGTGATTAGAGAGCCAGGAACAATCAAAGGGTTAGAAAACAGCAGGAGAAAAAACATTCACCCTATGGAGGAGGCATTGAGGGAGCCCGAGCTCTGCTAATGCAGAGGGAAAGGAACCGCAAACAGGACAGACAAGAACATGCTGGATTTGCAAGAGCGGATGGAAGGCACGTCAGGCTGAGTGGGGCAGGGAGCTCAAGACGTGCCACCACAGGAAGGAGGATTGGGGCAGGGATAGGCCCTTTCCAGCCCAGGGCTGCAGGACACCAATACACGACCTGGGACGGGGGGATCCCCTGAACGTCATCCACTACACATGGCTCTAAAGCATTTCCCACAGCTCAAACACCTGCGCCCTGAAACTCCCATCCCCATTCCCCATTTCTCTTCCCCAAAGATCCACTCTCACAGGCTCAACCTCTGCAGCGGGAGAAGCGTTTCAGGTCCCTCTCTGAGGGACTCCTGACCTGCCACGCTGTCTCTATTTTTGGTAGATGGGAACCCCTGGCTACCGCAGCCCATGGTCCGGAGAACGAGGTCCCCTTCCCACCACCTGGTTTGCCCAAGCTGGAGAAGCACCAGGTGCTATCCAGATCCTCCCCCGCTCTCCTGCTCGGGGGAGTAACACCGCCACAAATCACAGCATCTCAGAAAACAGACCGAGGAGATTGATTCAGCTATAAACGTGTCCTTCCCCTTACCTCCTGCCATCGCGGGATTGATCCCCGCGCAACATGAAAAGCATGTGCTCACTTGTTGGCCTGGAGACTTGCCAACAAAGCGTTTTAAGAGCAGTCCTGGAGCGCAGATCCTACAAGGAGACAGCTTTCTGCTTGGGAATGCCGCACACACACAGCACCAGACATGAATAATTCAGCTCCATTAGGTGCTGAGACCTCTACAATCCGCATCTATGGGCTGGGATGGAGCCAACCGTATTAAGAGACAAACCTGAAAGTTCACTTTTCGGAGCTGCAAACACACCTAGAGAAAGCTATTCAAACAGAATAGCTCGCCTTCAAAAAGGGAGTGAGGAAACCGCATGAGCCCCCGGCTCTTTGTGTTAAAACATGCGCAGGATGCTCAGCAGCAAACCCGCCGAGCCTGTGCCGCTCCGGCTTTCCCTACCGATTACTGGAGGCCAAGAAACCAAAGTGGGGAAGGATTGAATGCCCAAGGGTGGCGAGATGCAGGAGAAAGCTCTTTTCCTGGCAGCAGCCAGCCCACACGTAGGGAGACTGTCTCATACCCATGTGCTCCAGCCTGCAGCACTCCAGGATCAGCCTCTGGTTGCTTCCAGACATGACCGACTGCAGTTTTCACCCTGATTAACTTTCAGGAATGCCCGCAAGAAGGAGCAGCAAAGATGACACGGGGGGGGGGGGGGGTGGAATCTCCAGGACACGGCGTTTCCTCTGGCGGGGCACAAGGCAGGGGAGCAGAGGGTTTCAGCGAGATGCTTGCCCCGGCTAGGAGCGACCCTGAGGAGCAAACAGACCCCTCCGCTCCCACCCAGGGGGAGGCAAAGGCAGTGCTGGCAGCTGGGGAAAGCATCCATGGAAGGGATGCTGAGCTCCCCCCCCGCTAGCCAAGACCCAAAAGAGCTCCCCACAAGCCCCCAGTTCCACTCCATCAAGGCAGCGGCACGAGGGGCCGCAGTGCCGAGGCCCTTCCTCCCACCGCTGGCAGCCAGCCGACAGCTCTCCCCATACGCTGCCTCCGCACAAGATCCCTTTTTGTTTCCTTTTACGACTAAAGAAACTCGGGGCGGGAGGGGGGAAGGGGGGGGGGGAACACGCCTGCCTTTCCCGAGCTGCCGCGCTCGCTCCCCGCTCAGCTCCTACCATCGCATTTGTAATCCCCCAGCTGGGCTTGTTTGGGTTGGATTTTTGTTAAGTAACTCCCATGTCTTTTCTGCAGATTTCTTTTTAAGATGTTCCCCTCTCTCCCCGCCCCCTCTCTCTAGAGATGGGGGAGAAAAAAAAAAAAAAAAAAAAAAGAGGAAAAAAAGAGAAATGTTGAACGTGAGCCAGCTGGCACGCACAAGAGGAGACGGAGAAATCTGCACAAAGGAGCTTCCTCACTCACTTGCTGCTTTCAGCTCAAGAAATCACGCAGGGGAGGAGGGTTTGCTCTCCCCCATACATCAGTCAAGCTGTAGCAGACAAAGGAGATTTACCATGACACCCTCCAGAACTGCCACCCAACAGGGGCAGGATCCCTCAATCGCTTTCACCCGGCGGGAGTCCGAGCTGTTGCAAAACACACCGAAGCGCAGGACTTCAAAACAAGCTGTTCAATGTGGAATTAAGCAAGATTTTGAATGGAGGAGCTGTGCTCCCGCCTCCTTGCTCACACAAGGCGCTGGGAGAACTTCGGTGGCTCTTGGTGCTGAGCGGGATGGCGCCGGCAAGCTGCCAGGAGGGAGAAGGCTGAACCCAATTTGAATAAAATGGAGCCACCCTTCTTTTTTTAATATGGAGGTGCACCCCGCCAAGACTACATCTTCCAGCATGCACTGCAGCCGGAGCACCCAGCGAGACGTCGAGAAACTTATGCCGGGACTCCAAGTTTCCATAGGCTGAGCCTTGACACTGGAGATGAACCTGACACAGG